AACGTGGTACAGTAGAAGTCCAGAAATCAGCAAAGCTTGAGACCAGAGGTTGTGCGGACTTTAGGATTTTGCGGATTTCAAGACAGAGAAAATAAATCATAATTTTTCGGACTAAAAGTGCAAAATAAATAAGGCGTATTAGATACATTTAATTAAATTATATACATTATCGCAATAACTTATTATATGCATTAAATTATTATTACATCTATAAACTGATTATATTATTCATTGTATTATATGTACACAGCATCGAGGTTTGCCGATTTCGCCTCATGCAAAGATTTCCGGTTTGCATATTTCACAAGTGCACATCTGTGTAGCTACCGAAGGAGTGGCTTCTAGAATGAACCAATGAGCATCCAGTAATATTTCTGTCATGTCACATGACGTTTCGCGTGCTTTAAGATTTAAGCAAAAGGGTTGAAAATATTCTGCCACGCAATTTTATGTGAAAAATAATTAAAGCATCGTCGATTGCTTCTGAAACTTTTCATTGCGAAGTTAAATCAATTATAGGAAATTTTGAAGATTTTACTACTTGGTTGAAATAAATACACATGTTGGATACTTCGCAAAAATATCGGTGTGAAATATTACTTAAAAAGTGGTAAATAAGATGAAGAAAGAAATATGTGATAAAGATCTGAGCCCAAATGCAATCTTTACATAAAATTATGCGTATGAGAAAAATATTTACACCAGTTATATATGTAAATAGAAGTCAGCACTTTTTATTGCAGTCTATATGAAAAAGATGTTCTATAATAATAACCAATGCAGTATTTTATTCAAAGTGAACTTTACTAATTTGCAATCGAATACATTTAGTGTGTTAAATTTCACATTTAATAACTGCTCACTCTTAAATGTACTGTCTACACAAGAAATACTCATGGAACAGAGTGAATTTATTGTGTTCACAACGAGCATATTCAAATTATTCACATATAATTTTTAATGTTAACCATGGATATAATCAGATCAGATATATATTCTGAATCTCACCCTTTAAAATCAGCTCTATTTAAAAAAAAAAGAAAAAAACATACACTTGAGTTCTCTTAATCCACATAATATGCCCAATCGTAACATTAATACATGACAAAAATAGCGAAAGTGAAATGTCAGCGATTAATCAAACTCAGAAAACGAAAGCACTACGAGGCCATATAATTTATAGCTGCGAAACAAATGCAAATTAAAACGCTCACATGCACGAAGATTTAGCGTCACAAGAGCAATAGCAGCTCATTGGTCCATTTTCGAAACTCCTCCCTCAGTAGCTACGCTGATGTGCACTTGTGAAATATGCTTCCGTTTTCGGATTCCGGTGTTAGAATCACTGTTGCTGTAAAATTTCAACAGCTTTTCTTTACTTTTCCGTATACCATACACAATCGTGTCACAATTCCATACGATTCTGCCATAAACCGAGGAGTAGCACCCGTCTCCATCGTTTGCAGAATTTGCACTTTTTGCATTACCTTCAATGCAATGAATGTGTTTACGTTTTTCAATGTTGCAAGCAGTTAAATCATGAGTGCGTTTCTTATCTGTCATTGTATTAAAAAGGGCTGAAATTTAAAATATTCTCAATTTATCCACAAAATATACGGATAAAAAAAAGGGCAGCACTAAATAATCTCGTGAAATAACAAAGCTTAAAATACGATAACGGGAATTGTGAACTTGAAAGAAGAGTTGAGTGAATCGTCTGCTTTTTTACCTTGATGCAGATTAGAGGGGAAAAATTTTTTATTATAATGTCAATTATTTGGTATTTCCGTTATAACTCATTATTATTCCGTAATTATGACGTTATTATTCGGTAAGTATTTTTTTTCGATATTTCGTACTCAATGTTGCGGTTTCTGGAACCAATAAACTGAATGTTTATATTTTGAGAGGCAACGCGGATTTCAGGTCGGTGGATTTTGGGTATTTGACTGTATTGCCATTCGAAAATTTCGAAATTTTGTTACTATAACCGCAAGAGTTCTATTCTTTAAAATCTATGCAATCTTGGGCGCATACCCTCAAATAATTATACCTAAAATTTCATGTCGATTGTTTGAGCGGATAAGCCGCTAAAGGTTTATATACCGGGGATTTCTTTCTTTATGACCACACTGTATGTTATTTCTATACTATCACTTCAAATGTTGGTTGAAATTCTCTAAATATCTCTGTATGTTTCTTTTGCAGGTTGATTGTGATTTTATTTTTAGTCTCATGTAAACAAGATTTTGTGATAGTTGGAATACTATTTTTTACTTTTTTACTGAATTTAACTAAACCTCTGAAAGAATTTTTACACATTCTGTTTCATTCTTTCTAGTCTATTCAATGAAGAAAGAATAAAAAAGAAAAGAAAATCTCTGTTCTGAAAGGAAGAAATATATTCGTGTAAATTTGTGTAATAATAAAATGTGCGTGACATCATCGAGGTGTTCTCAGCTATCCGTTAGGGTAAGATTAGATACAACACCTTAAAATTTCTGTCTCATTTAGAATTTCGTTCTTAACACCCCTTAAATCATGGGTCAGCTAACAAATGAAAGAGCAGATCGTTTGATGTAAAAATGAATCATTGTTAATAACTGCACAATAGCAACAAGAACAGCCACAATAAAAAAAAAAAAAAAAAAAAAAAAAAAAACACTTTTAAATTTTACATTACTCTTAAAGGGGCGTTTTTTTAACGTTTTGTGGGTTACCTTTATTTTTAAATATCATGGTCTTTGTACTTAAACTATAAAATTAAGTTCAACAGTAATATCGCAAAAAAATTTTTAAATTAGGAATCTTTAGAATTTCCGATACACAGTCTCGCGCTCTGGAGATATGTATATATATATATATTTTTTCATTGCAATGTTGCCATGGCTCGCTTTGAAATCGTTGAGTTTCCTAATCAAAACCTACAAAATATTAAATAGATAATTAAACAAATTCCAAATTTGGGCTTCCAGATGCCCATATTCGGGAAGAAACGTACGTTATTCAGAATTCGATGGCTCCAGGTACCGTCGTTTTATCACAATGTAAGATGCATACATACATTTATGCAGATTTTTCATTATTAAATTTCTTTAAATATAATACAGGGCTGTAATATTTGGTGGCAACAGTCTGAAAAGTGACCCGACATTTATAGTGAATCAACGCAAAATGCCAAAACGAAATTAGTAGCCCTTCTGGGCTAATGCCTTTTGGGCTAAAAGACAAAGACAGAATAACCTTTTCAAAAAGTTTTCATATTCTGTAAATTACGTTGCATAGTGTAATTTCGTAAATTACATTTGAAATTTCTAAGAAGCTTCTTTTTAGAAATAATTTTTTGATCTGTCCAATGATGTGAAGATCGAATTTCTGCAATAATGAATTTTATCATCAAGCAGGGATACATGTAAAGAACTCAGCTTTAGTTGGCTAAATAAATATCTAAGTATGTAAACAAAGTTTAACTGGAATTTTGAAACAATTTTTGTAGAATATTGTATTGACCTTGTAAGTACATATATGGGAAAAATTTCAAGAAAATCAGGTTGGTAGAAGGGCCTCAAAAACTCATTTCAAGATTTGACCCAAGCAAATAAACCAGCAAAGTAATAAACTAGCTAAATAAAATTGTGTAAAAAGATGGCAAGTGAACTATTGAATAAGCTGTTATTATTGCTACAACCGTACTGTACATAAAGTAACAAGGAAGAGAAAGATTGTTTTAAAACTGAGACAGCCGCAGAAAATATGAACTAAGAAATTAGTACTGTATACGTGACACCACTGATAAAAGCGAATAAAATTTAGCAGAAATAAAACTTTTCCATCTACGTTTATTCGTGAATACAGTACGTTTCCTGCCAACCAAGACATCCGCAAAATACCGTCTGCTCCATAAAGCAATTTAAACGGAATTTTGTGCTTCATTTTATATACTAGAATGTACAACCAGCATGTATTTAGTCGTGAGTTAACGGAAATCACTTATGTAAAAGAAGAGAGAAAGAAGAAAAGGTAGCAGATTTCTAGAAGACAATATAATAATGAAATAATAATATAAAAATTATGCGTTAAATTATGAAATTATATGGTAGCTCTCGAAAAGTTATTAACAATTAAATCATAATTATAAATTAATTTGTAAATGGAGATATATATATATAAAATTATAAAATAAGCAAAAAAAAAAAAAAAGTATTTCAAACTTTTCTCCGTCAAAAATTGTCTCACGATCATGTTGCGACCGCACCTGGGAAACCACTCCTCTATATATTTCACTTTTTTTTTTTAGATTTTATTCAAACAAGCCTTTAATATTTTGATATTCATCTGTTTATACTATTTTGTGTTCAAAAAATAAGTGCAGAACAACTTGGGATCTTTTAAGTTTAAAATTCTGTTAAAATTGTCTTCTAATTTTATTCAACAGTAAAGATGAGTTAACAACAATAGATGCTAATTTTTACTTGTATGATGTTTTTATAATTTTTTATTTCAATTTATTTTAATTTTTTATACTCTTTGTACTGTGGTTGATTGTAATCCGAAGTTTGCAGAGCGCACGCTCTCGCCCTTTCAAACTTTTGTTGGATTTCCATTTTCCTTTTTTTTTTTTTTTTTTTTTATTATAGAATTCAACGGTTATCAATCTCAGAATACAGCAAAATATCAATGTGACAAAATACTTTTAAATAAACGAATACTCTTGTGAAATGCTGATGAAATTTTAACTTACTGAGAAACGCTTTTATTGTCTGTCACGTTAAAAAAAATTTTTAAATCTGAAAACTTTTTGCATTAAATGTTTAAAAGATGAAGTTGGAGAGATAAGATAATAAATTTCAGATGCGCTGGTAAATAAAATTTTTGGCGACTGTGTAATGCACTCTTTGCAAGTTGGCGAAATGAATATTCTCTTGGCACATTTTTGGCGATGTACAGTTAGTCCTAGCTGGCAGCCTTACTCCCAGATACCATTGGGAGAGGTGTAGAACTTGACGGAAGACGAGAAGCGCGTGTGAAGCTATGTGGTCTGAATCATATTATTATATAAAATAAAATCTACTCCAAAAAATCAGTGCACTCTTTGTAAACCTCATCATAGCGATCACTACTTCCAATCTCAAATTTCAACCGAAGATGTCTGGTCGTTACAGGAGGTTGAGATGTTACTGATTTCAAGAGTGTAACTCGCAGCGCGTAAATCCTGCAATCTCTGCGATATCCATAACTTAATTAGAAACACGTTTAGTCCTCTCGAATACTTGATTGTAACTGATTCTGTGAAAAATGTTTCCTAGATGTTGGATTTTTTATAGAAAAATTATCCTGGATGCAAATTTGATGTCAGCAGCCGGATTACCAAATGTGTTATTCTGTATTTGTAATACTTAATATTTGCACAACTGATTTTTTTTACTGATTGAATTTTCAAGCGTGATATAGTACATTCATTTGATAATATGACTTGATTGTGTGGTAGGCAAGTGGAATGCGCATGTGCGTGGCACCAGCCAAATATGGCGACGGATGGTTCTAAGTCGAGTGCAAGTTCTGGGGGACTTGTTCGAGTAGGATTTTATCATTTAGAAAAAACCATTGGCAAAGGAAACTTTGCTGTGGTAAAGCTAGCCACTCACATTATAACAAAAACAAAGGTGAGTGGCAAAAACTCCTTTATTAATGCCGCAAAATTTATAACCACGTGTAATAATCTGATCATTAACCTTATGCTGTACACTATTTAAATTTATTAAAAACAATCTTTTCATACTTTCAGTATTTCTGTGTATTCGTAACGAGTCGTTAAACTTTCTACAAGAAGATTTACTTATTTTCTGAATAATCATTCTAGTTTTGTGGAATACTTCTACATTTAACGCTTTTAAATGAACCTAAAAAAATTCTGTGATTAATTTCTGCCCATTTTTTACAGAGCAAGCAGTATTAATGCATATATGCTCTTATACTTATCTTAAAATCTCTGTTAAGGATTCTGATATTTAGTTTTTCAGTTTACTGTAATCTCCAGTTAGGCTTAATCATATAACCCTATAATTCCTTTTTATCACGAAATTACCCATAATAATGTAACCTAACCTCTTCTATACAAGAAAAAAATAATTCCATACCGTCCAAAAAACTAGACAGCTCGTAATAATTTTAAATAAGCATTATTTAAACCTAAATATGGAAAGCAAAGTATTTTAAGCCAGTGAAAGAGAAAACAGTTGTGGAAAACATGGTAAAATATATTCTATCTGAGTAATCTAATAAAATATGAATATTTATATTATTCTGATCGCTTTTCGTTGTGAATTTATAATATATATATAAAGAGAGAGAGAGAGACTCATTTATTTAGCTAAACATGTAATAAGAAATGGGTTTTAATGAAATGAAATGTTCCTGTTGAAAGCTTTGCATACAAATTGCTACCATACAAAATCATCAAAAACTCCTTATTCTATGCTTAATTTCGAATAAAAAATTTTAATGTACTCTAATATGATTATATTTTAATATTAAGAAGAAATCATGCATTTATTAGAATTGTCAGTATTGTTACATAACTAAATTATATTTAATATTATGTTTTGAACTTTTATATGAAGGAAAATGTATTTCTTCAAAATTTTATAATCAATTTTATTTTTAGGTTGCTATAAAAATAATTGATAAAACACATTTAGATGAAGATAATTTGAAGAAAATTTTAAGGGAAATACAAGTAATGAAAATGCTACATCATCCACACATCATAGCTTTATATCAGGTAAGAATATTTCCAAATAAACAAGCCATATTGTTTTCTTGGAATATAAAGATTTTTTCCCTTTTTTTGTGCTATAGATGTTTGTGCATATTTATTTGTTAAGTGGCAGAGTAAACATGAATAATTTTTTTTAAAAAAATTAAAAAACATGATTAAGTTTCTTGGGAAAGGTAATTTAATGAAAGGGTTTTATTAATTTTCTGTAGAACTCTGATTTGTTTTATCTAAAATTTTATTTCTCCTCATTGTGTATGGAATGCAAGTTATCACATATATGGTTTACCTTCTATATAATTTAATAACATAAAGTAACATTTTTCATTTTCAGAGTAGGAAATATTAAAAAAAAAGTAGGGAAAAAATCATTAAAATAATGTATTTTTGTGAAACACTTGATAAAAAGGAAAGAATGCTTCAACTGAACTATATCTGAATGTTTTTATTCAGTCATAATATGAGTAGGCTAAAGGCCCACCAGTGGCCAAGCAGTAAAGTCGCTGAACACTGGTAGTTTGGCCCGAGGTTCAAATCCTGCGAATGGGCTGGCTGCATGAAAGTTTTCTTGGTTTTCCCCATGTGTAACGTGTATACGAGCCAGTTTTCCTTAGAAAGTCCTCCACGAAGGCATCTCTTCCCTTAGGTAGATAGCCCTCAAGGCTTTGCCATAATCACACACACACAAGTAGGCTAAAAATATAAAATTCAAGAAATAAAAGGATACTTTTTCAATTAAGTAAAAATGAAAACTGAATGGTTGCAAAGCAAGTAAAATTATAAAATTGTTTGGACATGCCTACAATTACCTAAAGCTTTCTAGAAATTTAATTCTGAAGCATAGCTGATTTTTAATATACTGGGATTATAAGATATGTATATGCGGTATTTTGGTTATATGGAAAATATTCTTTTGCACTAATTTTTTATCTTGATTTTAGAATGTAGTTTTTAATTATTAATAATAATTCTTATTTACATTGTTAACATTTTAAGGAATTATATTTCTCTAGTATACAAATTTCTATCATTTCTGAGTATCATATTAAGATGATGTTTGGAGATAAATATATCTCAGGCCACCTATGTTATTATGTGGATTTTTAACGGGTTTAGTAGAGAGTATGAAGTAAAATAGAAATTTCATGTATGTTTCCTTATCGTACATATTTTCAAATATAAAAAGTAAGGATCTACATCATTAAAAATTATTTTTCATGAATAAGATTTGGAAAACTGATAAATTTTGTAAATACATCCATTTCTTTCTGCATCTTTTATCAGTAAAATAATAGATTATTTGTAACTTTATATGTTGCCATACATCTAAATAAAAGAATCTTGATTTTAGTATGATAATAAATTAATGATGTGTAATTATTTTTAGCAGAAGGTTTTTGAAATATTCAGTATATGTTATCTTTAATTTGTAATTAGATATATCTATATTTAACCTCTAAAAAAGGAAATAAAAATATTAAATGAATTTTTTTTAATTATTACCTTTGATATATATATCATTTACGCATTTTGATTCAGAATGTTGGTGACATGTAATTTAGAAACATATTTGTGTCTGAAGTTTTGATATGTTAGGAAAAAGATATGTTAGAAAGAAAAGGAAAGAAAAAGTTATATTGATACACATTAATGAGATACATTGTACCAATGGTAAAATCCTATTTATTGAATGTTATATTTGTGTTTTTGATATATTTTAGATAAATAATCCTTTATTAATGGTTGTAGATTTTTAATGGTGGTAAAGAACAACAGTTTTATGTTTCTCTTTTCCTTCTTAAATCTGAGGTTGACTTTGGTAACTGCAGCTTAGACCAACTTTGTCCCTGTTTGGGAAAACATTTTGTGTTTCGAAATACAGGATGGTATATCTTCTTTCCCCCCCCCCGCAACTAACTTCTCAAGATGACTATTGGAATAATGAATTATTTGAGTGTTTTCATTCCACAAAAGCATTATAATTATAAACGCTGTTGCCTCACTTTGAATTTAAATCCAAGTGTGTAGGCATGGTGGACCATCAGTCACCAAATAGCTAAGACTTTGGAATCATGGGTATTCATTTCAGGACCAATTTCTGGTAAATCATATGGTTGCATGGTGTTGTAGTGGCCTGAGGTACAATACCATGCAACCATATGATTTGCATGGTATTGCAGTATAGCATAAATATTAGCCAATTTACCTTAGAAAGTTTTTCAGAAGTCATCCTTCTTGAGGCAGATTTGCATACTTTACTATTATTATTTAACCATTCAAACCTACCTGTAAGCCTTTTAGCCAGTCTTTGTTAATCACCAAATCATGCAGGGTGATTTTTCAAATTTATAAAAAAGTGGATAGCATATGTATTATTACCCCCCTCATTGCATATCCCGCGATTTCGTTAGGCAATGTAGAAGTAGCAAAATTTGTGCAACCCACAATTTCCATGGAGCATTTTCCCTGTCTATTTAACAGTGCAACCCGCTCTTTCCCCATTCATGGTTTCATTTTGTATTTTCTGTGATGCTTAATTGTTTATTCAGATCTGGGTTAACAGATACCATTAGTGGTCCATATTTCTGTGATACAAGCATGTTTTGCAAACTTAAAGATATCTGTAATACAACTTTCAATCCCATGAGACTAACTGCTTGACTTTTTGCTACCCATATACCCCCAAATTCCATCAAGAAAGAGCCTTGCAGACTGTGTGCTGTTTGTAGCTTAAAAAAAAAAAAAAAAAAAAAAAAAAAAAAAAAAAAAAAAAATTAAACCAGCCCCCCCCCCAAAAAAAAAATCTCAAATAAACATGAATTTGGTGAAAAATTGTGATTTTGCCTTGAGTTTGTTTCAAAGTTTGTCATACTGGCATTTCTAATAAATATTTTGTAAGTATTTTGCATATTTTCATTAGTATGTAAGTTTTACCTTTGTATTTCATAAAATAAAACATAGTTTAACCAAGATTAATTTTCAAAATTTTGCTTTTATATGATTATTCTTCCATTTAAATTTTCTGACAAAAACTCTTCTGAAAAAACATTTTTTTAAATTTTAATTCTGAAATATGTAATAAAAATTATGCAGCGAGAGGGCTAAAACTTCAATGCCTTTTGATGCACACATGATATTCTGGAATTAAATGCTGTAATACCTTTTATGACAGTATCTGGAAAGGTATTGTTGCTGATCATGAATAGTTTAGAATGTGTGTGGAGGAAATAGTTGTCTTTCTAAATTTCTTTTTCCTTATTCTCAATTATTGTTGCATGTTGTGCTAAGCTTTCCATTAAAAATATGAATTATCAGGTTCACAGCATGTATTGTTTTCAAAAGAGAAATAGGTAGTACCTAATATAACTTTGAATATAAAATATTATATCTTTTATAAAAATCATTGAAATTTTTTAAAGGTTTGTAGTCATTGAATACTTTGTATGTATGGACTAATTATGTATTAAAATTTATTGCATATGTTTGATGTAAATTTAAAATGGTTTGAATATTTTGCATGTTTTGCTCTTCATTCACAACTTTTGAATAATCTTAAATTATAATTAAAATAGTAATTTTTGATTAACTACATTACTGAGCCATATTAGTTCTAGTTCTAAATCTATGCCAATTTATATTAAAATATCATTATTCAAAATGTTTAAACTACTAAATATGTTGAAAAATACTTTTTTAAATAAAATATTATGGCTAAAAAATATCTTTGAACTGCATTTTAATTTAATTAACAAAAGATAAAATAAAAGATTAATTAAAATGTTTAAAGGCATTTAAGCATATTTCCATCTGCAGATAGTTGTAGCAATTAAAAAAATTTGATGCTTGAATGTAAATGTATTTTATATGAAAGAATTCTTCTGTTTATTGATATTTTACTGCTTTGTTTGTATGCTGTTGGTTTGCTGAAATAAAATTTGTGTTTTAAATTGTATTTAGTGAATTAACAATTCATTAACTAATTATATAATTATATTTCTTATTTATAAATAAATTCATATGAATATATTTTTAATAAATGAGAAATATTGGTAGAAGAAACTAAGTTATTCTGCTTTTATTGAAGCCAAGCAAAATAAAATCTATGAGAGGCACAAAATTTCTGTAAAAACTATTTGGAGGGGCTACCATTTTCAAAAATTAAAATATCAGTAATTATTCTTTTCTTAATTTAGATTCATAGATGAAAAAATATGAGTGTTATGTCAATGAGACTCTACTATGAATGTGATCTTAGAACTTAATACAGGGAATGCATCACTGCACATGCAGAGCAGTATGACTTACATGCTGTCCTGTATGAATAAAATATCTAGAAAAGCTATTGTAAAGGGAATTTATTATTCATTTTCTAGCAATTTATAAGTCTGCTTCTGAAATATTAAGTATATTGTAAGGTAAATTCTTTTAAAATATAATGTATTAACATTATAAAACATCAGCTATAAAGTGTCAGAAAAAAAAGAGTGGTTAAAAAAAAGTAATATATTGGCTGGAACATGTAACCGTCTCACATATGAGATGATCTTTAATTTTAAAGGTATTTTACCAGGCTAACATGAAAATAAACGCTATGCAGAAAATATCTCTTAGAAGAATCTAAAAGAGAATCTATCTTAGATATTTCTTATATTAAATATTCTTAGATAAGGCTTCATTCAGAGTAATGTTTTTGATTATAAATTGTTGTGGTTGGAGGCATAAAAATCCTTATGTCCATTCACACATGTTTAACAGGATTTAAATTGTAGGCAATCAGGGAAGGAAATGTTATGTTGGCATAAATGTGTAACTGAGTTGGGAAAATTGTTGACCATTGATTACTTCACCACTGTTATTGGCTGGCTGTTATACCAAATTGCCATAAAGTTGAAAAATTAGAACTTTAAGGCAAAATCTTTAAACCAAATTTTCTGATGTAGCGAAGTCTGATTACCTGGCAATGAAACTCGGCTTTGACCTTTTATGATTTTAAAATCATTGTGTGGACAATGCATAAGATTCTCCAGTAAGTCATTATTCAAATTTTAGACTTTAGACATGTATTTGAGAAAAGATAGTTACAAGCTCATAATATTTTTAATTATTTTTATCATGATTTTGGCAATAGAGTCTGTGTACATTAACCTTACCATTACTATTCACATTGTTATTTTCACATATTATCTGAACTGCTGCTGCCATTTTTCATATATTAATCATTCGACGATAAGATGTTTTTATAATTAGAAAATTATACTCAGTAAATGTGATACTTTTAATATGCAAGTTAACGAAAAAATAATTATTTTAATGTATTTTTTACGTTAGGTTGCATATTTAAGATGAGTATGTTTTAAAGAGCATTTAGAAGGGGACTGTTATATTTAAGCTACTGATTCATTACTTATATTGTGTGCATTAAACTTTTAAAATTATGATAAATATCAGTATATAAAATATCCTGATTTAGTCATTAATATGTTTTTAAATTCTGTGTGTGTATGTTTATGTATATACTCGTACGCAGTTCAAAAACACATTATGTATGCATATATATGTATATACATACATACATACACACATACATAGGTACTATTCTGTTATCGGGACTAGATTGAGAAATGTATGGATTGATGAATGTGTTCATGTATGCATGTATATGTATGTATGTATGTGTCTGTACACTTGCACATACATACATACATACCCTTATGCACATACATTTCTGAATCCGGTCCCGGTAACGGAACAGTACCCATACATGCATACATATATGACTAATTTTCCTGTAACTTCGTGGTGGTCATATATAATGTTGGTATCCATTCATGATAAATGGACATACCCGCTTTTTTTTTTCTTTTATCTTGTATTCAGCTGTTGTAAACTGTTCTTTCCTTTCCATGATGTATGTATTAATTTTGGATTTTATTCTGTTTCAGGTGATGGAAACCGAAAGAATGATTTATTTGGTTACAGAATATGCAAGTGGAGGAGAAATTTTTGGTATATTAAATTATTTTTTAAGATACTAGAATTAGCAATGTATAATGCATAATTTCTTTAGCATTTCTGTTGTGAACAGAAATTATAATCACAACACAGAATTTTTTAAAAAAATATTTCATAACTAGTGGAGATCTGTAAGCAAAATTTATCATCTGTAATTTTTTTTTTTTTTTTTTTTTTAAGAAAGGGTGAAAGCTTCTTAATTTGCCAATTATGATTTCTTCTTTATATTTCATTTTGTAGTTAAAAAAAAGTGAGTTGCATAATATGTTTTAGCAATATTTAAGAAGTCCATACAGAAATAATAATTTTTTATGTCCATGTATACATTCTCTTCTCTGTAAATTGCTCAGAATCAGTATGACTTTAAAAAATGAATAAATAAATCAAATAAAAAATTAATGGTGTCATTGAAAGTTATTAATTTATTGCCAACCATGTGCCATTTTTTAAAATTTTCAAACTAATAACATAATACTTAACAAAAGTACAAGCTATATATTATAAACAAGAGTTTGGAAATTTCAAAGTTAAGATTATTAATTCTATATATATATATATATTATATATATATTAATGTATTAAAGTATTGCGATATTTTTCAGTGGTTACAAGAGTATTAATAAAATAGTTATTAGGAAAGTAATTTTATAGTTTAAATATCAAGATCTAAATAATTTTTATTTCCCAAATTGCTTTCGCATAAAAGTAAGGGAAATTTAATAAAATCAGGTTTCTCTATGAGGAGTGTCTATAACTTGATAAAAGAAAATTATTCCTTACATTGGGGGGGGGGACTATGTAACATTACTTTATAAATTTTGTGTAATGCTACTTACGAAATGGAAAATTGCTTATTGGACATTTTATATGCCATTTCCCATTAAAGTGGCATATATTAAAATGATAATCAGTATCATTCTGCATAAGAGTTATGGAATGCACTGTTATAATAATTTACTGCTAAACTGTTTATATTGCTGGTAATAGTGGCACTAACATGGTATAACATATTTTGTTGACCTAGCTGTAGGTTGCAGTAAAAGATATTCTAACCTACCACTGGTGTAAGAGATCAATAAGTTAAGAATGTATTATTGAATCATCACAAAGTTTCAGTGGTTTTTCAAATTTAAGCAGATTATCTCTAAATAATTTTCTTACTGCTGATATGACCTTGATGAAAACCAAATGTTTAAATACACTCTTTTCTGCTCTCATTGCCTTATTCTAGTATGTGCTGTGTCTCAATTTTTATTTCAGTGCAGTACGAAAAATGAAGAACCAAAAAGTTCGTTTTGGGTTTCTTTTTAGTCCAAAGAGGCTTTTTTTCTGAAGGACTATTGTTTTCGTTTTGTGATTTTGCGTTGGTTCACTATTAATGTCTGTTTCACTTTTCAAACTGTTGCCACCAAATGTTAGAGTCCTGCATTATATTTGAAGAAATTAAATAATAAAAAATCTGCATAAATATATGTATATTTCTCGCATTGTGATAAAACAACGGTACATAGAACATCGAATTTTGAATGATGTAATCCTACTGTAAATATGGACATATGGAAGCCCAAATTTGGAATTTGTTTTGTTATTGATTTCATATTTTGTAAAACTTTAACAAATTTTTGATTAATAAACTCGAGGATTTCAAAGCGAGCAATGGCAACCTTGTACAGAAAAAACATTTTTATCTCCAGCGCACGAGACTTCTAAACATATGCTCAGTTTAAAACTATTTTTAAGATATTGCACTTGAACTGAATTTTATGGTTCAAGTGCGAAATGGGATATTTAATAAATAAAGGTAATAAAGTTAATATTTCAAACAAAAACACTACTCAAAAGTTTCAACTTAGAACTTTTAGGTCATCTGCCATGTAATCCAGATATTGCAACCAAGCAACTTCAACTTATACCTTTACCTGAAGAAACATCCTGCAGGGCTAATCATTCATGATGATGACGATATCAAAACTCATGTGGAATACAAAAGCTTACCCATGTTTAACAAATTTTTGGGCAGTGGTGACAACTATGTCAAAATGTAAGACTAGTAAATAATTTGTAATGGAGAGTTTTGTTAATTAAAAGTTTTTTGAATGAGATGTTATAGCTTTACTTTTCGAAAATGCCTCATATGTTATTAGCATCATTATGCCTGCTGTATATAGGGCAGTTATATTAAACATATGTGCTAATCAAATGTCTTTCAAATTTTTCTTCAACAAACAGTCATAGGTAATAGAGAAAGTACTTGAAACCATTACTCGATGGAAGTGAAACACATGAATGCAAAATTTTAAATTACTCAAAAAAGCAACCTCTGTTTAGCACAGGTTTTGAATAAAACTATCAATTTTAAGAACTACCAGACCCTCTTCAGGACCCTCTTCTTCAGAAACGGAAAAGTTTTCGCAAAATGGGAGGAGCGACAACCGCATTTATATCAAAAGGAATGGGTGCAGCAAAGCAAACATGAACATAGCACCATACATTGAGAAGGTTTCTCCCTAGATTTAATCCTTGCATGTGTACAAGTATTTCTTCTGCCTCTACCTCTATTTGTGTTATGCATATTAGTAAATAAATTAACAGCTTAATTTTCATTTTGTATTTGATATAGAATTTTTTTTATTACAGATCACCTTGTAGCTCATGGCAGAATGAGTGAGAAAGAAGCAAGGCATAAATTTAAGCAGATTCTGACTGCAGTACGTTATTGTCATGAACGGCATGTTGTCCATCGAGATCTAAAAGCTGAAAATTTATTATTAGATGAAAATATGAATATCAAAATTGCAGGTAATTGTCTTACCTTAAATTTTAAGAGTTATAATTTTATGTGACAGCTTTTAGGACACTTCAGAATTCTGTGCACTTGTATTATTTAAATAATGCCTAGTTTTATTAATCTTAAATGCAGTAAATGCTGCAATAAAATTTTAAGTTTTGTAACCTTCGTGGTTTTCTTGTTACTTTCCACATTCAGGCTGATATTTTTCATTAGTGCATGCGTGATATTAATGAGTGTTTCTGTGAAAATGTAGTGTATTATTTGAAATCTTCTGCGTTAAAACTTCTTTACAATACAGAAATTGAATGTTGTCCATTTAATTTATATCCCTTTAAAAAGCTCTGAAACTAAGGCTTTTTTCAGTTTTCAGTCAGAATGTGTATTTGTTGTAATTCCCAGTAAGAATCTGACAAATATTTTTGGAAGATGCTCTGTATTCTTTTAACTGCCATGAATTTTGCTTCAAGTGACACCTTTTACTTCAGAATTCTGACATTTTCAAATACTGTAGTATAAATAATTTTTCTCTTAACTAAATTAAGTGAGGGATAGTTTTTAACTTGCCTTATAATTTAGATTTTTAATAGTATTTGTAAGAATGATAATAAATATTTTTATGTAGTTATATAGCTCATAAAACATTTTCTTTTGGCATTTTTACTGATTTATATACGAGGCATATTCGGAAACTAAGTACCGTTTTAAAGAAAAAAAAATAGTAAAACAATTTTTTCGAATCCAATTTTATTTTCATGAAAATACATGTCTTAAACTATTTTTCAACATAGTTTCCGCCAATGATCAAACTCTTGTCATAGCGGGTGACCAGTTTTGTATACCATCGTCAAAGAAACTTCCCGCCAGTTTCGATAACCACGACTCCACAGCATTTTTCATGTCATCGTCAGATCCAAAGCGCTTGTCACCAAGCTCACGCTTCATGTGCAGGAACAAGTGATAGTCGGACGGCGCTAAGTCTGGGCTGTACAGCGGGTGATCGAACTGCTCCCAATGAAACTGACGAATTAACGATTGAGTAACACCAGCAGTATGGGGCCGAGCATTGTCATGGAGCAACACAATTCCTTTACTGAGCATTCCTCTTCGTTTGTTTTGAATGGCACGCCTTAGTTTTGTTAAAGTCTCACAATATCGTGCCGCATTAATGGTTTCACCTCTGGGAAGAAATTCAGTAAGCAAAACGCCTTTCTTATCCCAGAAGATAGTGCACATGATTTTTTGTGATGACATTGTCACTTTGAACTTTTGTTTTTTGAATGAGTGTGTCTCCACTCCATCGATTATTGTTTCGATTCTGGTGTGAAATGACACACCCAAGTTTCATCACCTGTCACAATTTGGTTTAAAACGTTTTCTCCCTCATCACTGTACCGCATGAGAAATGTCAGGGCACTACCAAGTCGCTTTGTTTTGGGAACATCAGTGAGCATTTTTGGAACCCATCGGGAACACAGTTTGCGATAATTCAAGCAGTCAGACACAATTTCGAACAAAACAGTACGTGAAATTTGTGGAAATGCCTCTGAAAGACTTGTCATTGTGAAGCGTCTGTTCTCATGAATTGCTTCATCAACTTTCCTTACCAAATCATCGGTGACAACAGAAAGCCGACCACTCCGAGCCTCGGCGTGGACATTTGTTCAACCTGCATTAAATATTCTTACTCACTTTCTCACCATTCCATCACTTATCGCGTATTCACCGTAAACTTCTGTCACTTGACGATAAATTTCGTCCGGTTTAACATTCCTCACGTTCAAAAATTTAATCACGACACGAATCTCACAGTGAGTGGGAGAACTAATTGTTATTAATTAAACATTTTGAATGTGCACAGCAAACTAAAAACACAACGTAGAGCAACCAAAATGGCGACAATTGAAAGTCAGTGAACAAGAAAGACTAGTGCGCATGCGCGGGACACCTACCACAGCACTGCGACGGCACTAGAATGAAACGGTACTTAGTTTCCGAATACGCGACGTAAAATCAATGACTATGTACCAAAAATTTCTTGGGTTGTCTGGTTTCTCATCTTTGTATATCAATTTCTTATTGGGTGGTTATACTTTTATTATTTAACAGCATACTATTGTGTACCCTGTTTCCTATCATCATATATTGTGTGTATTTAATTCAGAAAAATAGTCTTTATAACCCACATTTTTGCATTTAACCCTTTTAAGATCATTAATGAGCTCAGCTCGTAAACAAACTGTGTGCTAGAATGGACAGAAACAAGCCCAGCTAGTGTTAGTACTTGTCATAACGGGTGATAAAATGGATATAAAGAAATCCTATTCACAAAATTGAAATCTGTCTTCATCTCGTCCCTAGAAAACTTCCAAGTTTTGTATTACAAATGAGTGTGTGTTGTGGAAACCTGTTGATTTTACTGAATTCAGATGGCATTACAGGTACTGCATAATGAGAGGTAAACGTAATTTCATCTCCCAGCAGTATTCATTCCCCATTTTCATTATAATTCAGTGCTGAAATGGTACCAGAAAGGAAATATTTTAATAAACTTCATTTAAGTAATGAAATAAGTCATTTTTAGCTTGATGGAAATCTGGATATCAACTTGTTGATTCAAAAAATAAAATTGGCAAAGTTAATAATTTGAGAAGTTGCAAAGCATTCATATAAAATTAATGAAAGTTTGGCAGCTCAGAGTTAATTTAAGTTTATAAGTATTAGTAGTATGGAAGTAAAGATGACAAATGTCTCTATTCCTTTAGAATGGTTTAGCTTTTCCTTGTGATAAACTTGCAGACTATTGAAATGAATTGCATTACAACTAAAAATATGTATTAATCAGTAATAAAATCAAGTCATGCATCTATCATTAATCTTATGTCACTGCAAGTAAGCTCTAAATAGAGTATTAAAATTACAAGTGTTTCATTAATATTCCTTTGTGTGCTGTTTGTGAAAATTTTTCTCTGAAGCAGTACACGGGGAAACAATTTGAAAAAAGTGTACTGTAATGCTTCATAAAGTTTAATGTAGTATTTTATATCAATTAACTTTTTAAATGTATTTATTAATCAATTACATTACAATGTGTATAGTGTTTGTTAAAAATTCGATAGACTTCAATTAACATTCTATTAAAAATATATGAAGCATATTTTTCGAAAGAGTTATCATACAACATTCTGCAGTGTCATTGAAATTAAGTGCATTTAAGAAAGCAGTTGAGAGTAAAAAAGGTGATTATCAAGTGCTGCCATGAAATATTGCATGTATCAAGAAAATAATGATTACCAATCTTTGTAACCATCACAAGGTTCATTAAATGTTAATATTGTATCAGGCCTTTTAACCATATGTCCAAAAAAAGTGAGAAATTTCTGAGGTATTTAAAATTAAAAATCTGTGTTTTAGCAAGTTTTTTTAAGAATTTTTCATGTGTAGCAAGATTAATCTTGTTTTGAGATAGAGGTAGCAATTTATTTATATTTGTAAAAAATCACCTGATGGTTGAGTTCCAAACAAAAAGTTTGGCTTGTAGTCTTTGAATAAAATGATTTTTGTAAAAATTAATTCTTAAAAATGAATCTTTTTTTTTACTTCCTTGTACGAAGTAAAAAGGAAGTATTGTAATCGCGAAAAGTTTCAGGCAGCATATTTCAATGAAAATGTCCATTTTGACCGCTATCGAATGCAATTTAACGATGTTTTTGCGTAATATCTGTACGTAAGGACAGAATAAAATAATCTTTTCTTTCAAAAAAATTATAAAACTGCTTTAAAATTAATTCTAAAGAGAATTTTTCGTGGCATCTGTACGAACGTACGTGCGTGCGTACGTACGTATCTCGCATAACTCAAAAACAAGTAGCCTCAGAACGTTGAAATTTTGTATATAGGACTGCTATAACATGTAGATGTGCACCTTGTATTTTGGTTGCAATCGGCCGCACCAAACGTATATAAATATATTTATATATATATCCACTCTATTACACGGCTCAGTGATCTCAGCTTCTTTACTCTTATATGTTTGTAAATTGTAAATTTTTTGCTTTAAAAATGATTGAATTATGTTGTTTTTATCTTCCGGTTAAGGATTTTATGCCTTTAGTAAATCTGTGTGCAATATTTTTAGAATTATCAGCAATTTTAAAGTTGTTTAATTGCCGCTAAGCTTGTTTTTAATGGCGGTCATTGATGTTTACATTTGAAACAGGAGACTAGTGGATTTGTTGCCAATCTAGAGAAACTTAGCTTCGCAACAACAAAGATAGCGCATTCATTTATTATTGCCAATTAAATCATGCTTAATTCTTTCTGTAATTTTTTCAAGGAAATAAGCGTTTGAGATTTACTTCGTAATTTTTAATATAGATATTTTGAGTTTTTATGTATTTTTGCCTTCTCGCGAAGTGAGAACTGAATTAATTAAATGAGAAATACTCAATCGTCTGTGAAAAACTGTTTCTTTTTTGTTTTGTTTGCTTAATTTCTTTTATACATAGTTCTAGCTTTATTATAGTATTTGAATAGAACATGTGGCAATGATTAGATAATTCTTTAAATGATATACATTTTGTGCATTCTGAGTTATAATATGAATGAAATATAATACTGTTAAGTGAACATAGCACCAGAGTGTCGCTATGGTAAACAAAGTTAATTTTAAAGAATGCATTTATTCTATTGTGGTTTATGCGCTGTCGGCGAAGTAGGTTTAATTCAATCTAATAAGTTTAAATAAAATGCAAGAAAAAATACGTATAATTTAATATTCCGTACAAGGAAGTCATGTGGTGTACACATCAGATTTTTTTATTTTTTTTATTTTTAATGAAATCTTGTAGTTTGATACAGTATCGACTAAGGTAAGGTACTGTCCTGTTTGATAACTGAAGTGTTGTTAGTAGCTTAGTGTAGTTAGTGGGGTAGGCAGAAATATGTTTTAGTAGGTTCTAAATTTTGGATACAAAGATAATTTAATGCATTAAGTAGTGAAAGTGACCCAAATTTTATCTCATCTTTTAGAGAAAATGCATTAAAGCTAAAATATGTCTTATATACAGATTCTCTAATCTCACAAAAGGCATAGATACTATTCTGTTAGCGCAGTGCAAGCAATAAATTGCCATTTCTGAAGTTTATGGGGGGGGACAAGTTTTAAGAAATTAGTTCTTTAATTTATGAAAATGAGTTCTTTTATTTTTAAAATTGTTTACATTGTTGGTTTGTTGCGTTACTACCAAGGCAAAAAGTCTGAAGTTTGTGAAATTGCCACTGGGCAGACAAAATAACCAAATGTACACCATAAATAATAACTGATAAAAAAACAATGGAACAAAGTAAATGACTTTTTGGGTGTTATTAATGCAACATCAATGCAAAAAAGTCATATAAATACTTCATAGTCCATATCAGAACCTGAGTTTCCAAATGACCCAGTAAAATTCACTTTACCGGCTTTGGGATGTCTGAATGCATATCATCATCAAATTCAATAAACTCTATACTATAATTTATGCCCTCTTTTTACACAAAATTGCCCTCACAGAGATCCATACAGTTACTGATGCAGTAGCTTTTTAAAAGCATGATTATTGCTTTTGGTAGAATCTCCAACTAGGTGTGTTATACCCATTGCACAACCGTTGCTAAATATTCATTAACCATAACTTTTTTTTTTTTTTTTTTTTTCTAATTTCTGCTTTTTACCAGAGTTCAAACTGTCATTGGCATTTGGCATTTTACTTTATATAGCAATTTGATTGGAAACTATGCTACCATGGCAACATTTTCCCCCTCATGGTGACATTGAAAAAAATTTTTTATTTCTGCTTATGTACGGGTTTTGAATTTGGGGTAATTTTTTTTTATAAAAGAATGCACTCTCAACTTACATTTGAAAATATACGATATGCAAATGTTATTTATTAAAATTTGTTTTTTTCTTTTCTAATAATTTCTTTAAGGAATAACTATTTCTTATAACCTTCGCAATTAATAAGTATTCTTTTAACCAAATTTCCTCATATATGATACTTGCTAGTTATGTGCTGAAAACTTTGTAAATATCTAAATCAGTTATGCATTTCATAATTAGGTTTTTTTCCAAAATTGTTAAAAATATTAAAGATTTGTTGATAATGTAAAATTTTAAAAAATATTTTCAGATTTTGGTTTCAGTAACTATTATGAGTTGGATAAAATGCTCTCGACTTGGTGTGGAAGTCCCCCATATGCCGCTCCTGAACTTTTTGAAGGAAGGCAATATAATGGGCCAAAGGCTGATATTTGGGTAACTAGATTTTTATTTGTATTAAAATTCATTTAATACTGTTATCATTCAGTAGGAATAAGCTGTAGATTTTAGTATGTAAAATATAAAGTGCATTTATAAAAGTTTTAAGAAAATGTAGAAATTCCAAAATATGTATTTAATGGCAAATTCTTCCAATGGATGATACCCCTATACTACTTCAAGTAATACATCACCAAAATTTTGGTTGCAGTTAGTTGTAAAATCTGTTTGTTTGGCTCAAGATGGAGAGTAGATTTTTCCCAGTGTGAATTTTTAATTTTGAGCATTACTTTACAATGCATTCTCACAGTAAATTTGTTGAAGATTTTCAAAAGACCTTCTTAGGTGTTTGCAGATCTTACAAGATAATGATTTTCTGCTTGGTATAGTTTGACTGTCTCATCCACGACCATTAGCACAAACATGTATGCAGCATTCGGACCGAATTATTTTCAAAATAGGGTGGAAGGATGGGGACTATCGTTCCCTCCAGCATAGCTCTTTCTGGAGAAGAGAAGACCTTTTATGTTGCAAAAGGTAATACTGCTCCTTTTGGACGAGTCTATGTATTTTGGCAGAATGCCAACCAGGGTTGCGCTTGAGACGGTCAAACTATAAGCTGGAAGCGTTTACCATAAGAAATGAAGTGACCACTCATCTCTTCTGAGTTTGGACAAAATTGGAGGAAAATGTTGCAGAGTGAAAAAAAAAAAAGACGACACTGCAGTCAAATTTATGCATTGCCAAATGCATAGTCATAAAAAGTTCTATTTGGAAAACCTCATCTCAATATTGCACCTAAGAAATGGTTTTTAGAACTAAACATGAATTGCAACTGTAATTTTACTCTTAGCCTAGAGACTTCGTCTGTTTAATTGATCTGCCATTAATATCTGTTTCGGAATTTCCGTAGTTTTTGAAAATTTGATGTGCATGACTTTTGAATCACCCTGTACATTTGGCAGTCATTATTAATATATGGTATTGATCTATGATTTCTGTGCTGTGATTACTATGGTCAATTATAATATTCTTTGAATTTTAATTTCTATGACAATAATAAAGTCTAGACTAACATAGCTATTATTAATGGAAAGATAAATGCTCAAAGTTTTACAGCGATAAGAAATTCCTGTGTCTACTTTTCATAACAGGGCAAATGTTTATCTGTTTATCTTATCTTCAGTCTATGATCACTCCAGCATTTCTTGTCCCATCTTAGTATCCATTATGATGCACTGTTTCAATTTCAATAAATCTTGAAACATGGGTGACACAATGCAGTAACTGTGATTAATGCTGCCAGATAGGATATGGTTACCCTAATGAGGATTTCTGACTAAGTACATGTTTTGCTATCCTTTGAGAGTACAATGGAGTATAGTTGCGCAAAGATTGAAGCTATGTATTAACTTTTTTGCACTCGAGAAGCGATTTTAAGTTATCATTCAGCACAATGCAGCCAGGGCAAGTTGTATTTCAATAGCAAAGAATTAATGTAGTTGTCACTGAGGTTGACCCCCTCCCCAAAAAGTGGTGTTGGAGCAAATATCACCTGAACTGGTATTGGTAGGGACTTGTCACATAACTAAAGATAGATATATTAAAATCTGTTAGTAAGAAATGTATTTCAGTGAATTTAACTAATTCAGAATAAAATGGTTCTGCTTTATATTATCCACATTTCAAATGCTTTGCTGGCTGTGATAGTGTAGTCATTTCTTTGTAATCACTGTATACTAGAAAGAGTCTGGGCGATCATAATTTAAAAAAAAAAAAAAAAAAAAAAAAAACTTCTTTGTTATAGTGAGCCCCAGCCATATTTGGCAATTTTAGATTTGCGCCAAGATCTCAGCTATAATTTCACAAAGCTCATGAAGTGTGAATTTAAAAATAAACAGCGCAATATGTAATAATAACAACAATAATACTCACATGATTTTTCCTCAGAATATTTTTAAGAATCCTTATCCTTATTATTGTTATAATTTTATTGCATGTAATTGTTTCAGTCAACTGCAGCTCTTTCACACATATTAAACTCTTTGCCATTTAATTTTTATTGTTAACTCCTCTGCCCTTTATTTTACAATTTTTAACGGTGCACCTCCAAGTAGTTTTATTATTAACATTAAAGTTTCATGTTGTAACCATTTTCGCATACTCATTTGTCAAGTAAAAGACCTTTCTCATAAAAAAAATGGCATGCACTTCACTACTTGGTAAATTAAAGATCGTTAACTTCATATTCACCAAAAAAATATTTTAAATAAACAATACAAATCCTAAAACCTCGCCAAAAATTAGTGCAATAAGAAAAAACGCATGACGAGAGCAAAAATAAAAAATGTAACACGGTGCTGATATAAGAGTATGTGGTGAGGTATAAGAACATGCAGCCAGTGCTAATATACAATCACATGACAATGTTATGAGAACACGCAGCCAGATTTTAGCGAGAAATCTCAATTGATAGGCAATTCAATCTCATGGTCCGCTATAACAAAGAAATACCATATTGCGCAACAGAGATTTAAATTTTTATCAAGAGAAGTTTGCTTGTTGCAGTAAACTTAGTTTTGCATGCTTGAAATGCATGTTTTTAAGCTAATTGGATTTTTTTTAAATTTATATATATTATTTACTTTTCCATTACAATGTGTTATATTTTATTTATATAGAGCTTAGGTGTTGTTCTATATGTTCTGGTATGTGGAGCACTACCATTTGATGGCAGTACATTACATTCTCTGAGGAATCGTGTATTGGCTGGGAAGTTCAGGATACCTTACTTTATGTCAAGTGGTATGTATAGATTATTTTCTGCTGTTTTGTAGATTGAGAATATTTTATAAAATAAACTTTTTATTCATTCCTAAATATCAAAATTTACATTTGGTAGAAAGAGATATAAATGAATTGTAAAATTAAAAACATTCATAAATATATTAGATGTGCATTTATTGTTAACCTAAAAGGCAAGTAAGATAATGAATCTGTATCTATAAAATTAAGAAGAAATGTCCGTGGAATTTTCTATTTTTATGCGTGAAAATTTTAAAGTATTGCTTAGGTTATCTGAAATAGACTTGTGTATTTTTATATCTGAGAATGGCTTATCACTGGGCTTCTCAACCAGGGAAGAGATGCAGCTAACTTGACCCCACCTGCTTCCTGCTGTGTCTTTAAAAAACATTTAATTTTAATAAATACATATGTATTTTATGAGTTTTGGAAGGGGGCAGAATACTTTTCTAGAAATAGTGAAAGAGGTCATTGGGCGAAACTAGTTGAGAACCACTGGCTTATCAAATCTAAAATTTACGGAGAATCAAAGCATAATTTATTACTGTGAAACATTCTGCGACTTTTGAGCAAAAATAACTTTATGAGTGATTATCGTAGGAAAATTCAAATTTCTGTTCCATAGGGAAAGTTAAAGACATAAACATGAATAAGGAGTAATTAAGATAAATGAATAAGGAGAAGAGGTGATTCAGAGTATTAGGGATAAAAATTATATGTGCATTGTTTTAATGAAACTTAAGATATTTAAAGTAGTTTGTAGTTTGGTACTCGTAAATATATATCGTTTTGTTACAATAAGGGAAAAAAATTACTCCTACAATGCATGATCAGAAACCTTAACAGTAATTCAACAGTCTTCAATCTTTGTTGACTCAAAAGGCCATAAAACTTTTTTTGTTCTGGAGGGAAGAATTCATACATCCTCAGAGAAAATATGGAAAATGTATCAATATTATGATCACTTTATGTGGAAAATGAAAGGAAATCATTATTTTGATATAATTTTACTCAAATCTAAAAACAAATCTATTTGATTATTATGTTAGATACAAAAAATAACATTTTTTTTTTAAATTATTATTTTAAATCTGCTCCAAGTCTGTAGGTATTGAAAAAACGTTTTGGTTTTGATGTGTGGAACTCTTAGTGGAATTGAATAGCAGTCCAAGATTCTGCAAACTTAGTTTGAAGACCACTGGACTAATGCAGTATTTGGGACAGTTTAACCCAAAGTTTTGTTTTTGTTGGACTGCTATTCAATTCCACTAAGAGTTCAGTCCAAGATTCTGCAAACTTAGTTTGAAGACCACTGGACTAATGCAGTATTTGGGACAGTTTAACCCAAAGTTTTGTTTTTGTTGTTCGTTAAAGAAAAGATAACAACTCAATTTTTTTTTACTTCATCAATGAAAGATTATTTTTACTAATATGTGATTATATAATTATAGTAAATAGCTACAGAAAACACTTCAAGTATATAAAGTTTTAAATGGGTTATTTTGATGATATTATTCATTATATACGTGATTACTTCTTAAAGCTAATATTATCAGTAGAAACCATTATTTCCTTTTGTACAAATATACGAACTATATACGGAGAAAAATATTTAAGAATTCATTTAAATTATGCATGTGCCATTTGATTTGTGTTTCTAGTACTTAAAGATGTAGTTCAGTAATTACTAAAACAAACTAAAAAGGATTTCATGTATTGTTACTGTGTGAGCAGATTTGATCCAGCTGTGGACAGATAGCAAGACTAGCTTCATTATTTAAATTCCCCCCATATAGCTTTTATGAATGGTTTATTACAGAATCCATCTCTTGTAAAATGTTTAAAATTACTATTTTTTTAAAACACAATAAATTTTAATTTCACTGAAATGAAAAATTTCCCCTTTAATTACTATTATGAGCTGATAGCAAATGTTATACCTATTATTTTTTCTCCCTAATCTAGAATGTGAACACCTAATTAGGCATATGCTTGTTGTGGATCCTGCTAAGCGGCTTACAATAGATCAGATAATCAAACACAAGTGGATTACTCAAGAACCAGATGAGCAGTTTGAAAGGACTCTAAAAAAATATAGTATTGACAGTAAAGTTGAAGAGGAGGAGCCATTGTGTGAAGTTGTTATCGATTATATGTTGCAACTTCCAGCATTTAAGAGAGAAGATATAGTCAGTGTATGTATAAATGGTTAATTGTTAGCTGTATGTAGTTAATTTCCAATACTTAAATGGTAGAAGCTTGCCTTTTGTTTTATAAAAATGTATATATCAAGGAAAAAAATTAATTTTAATCATCTTAATATAATAGTTATGTAGAGATAAGATTACATGTATCAAGCACATTCAGAAATTTCATGTTAACATTCATATTGTTGTAATCATATATAAAATTTTTTGTTATTTACTCATGAAATTTAAAGATTATTTACAAAAAATTGGTTTGCAAATGAAAAATCTCTATACTCAATTAAGGTCTTGCATATTATTTGTCAGTCACATCTCTATTTCATTAGTGTTTCCATAGCAGCCAACTCTCTCGGTTTTATATCGCATCTCTCCATCTTCTGGTATATCGTCAAATCTCCCAGTTTCCAATTTTTGGCATTTATTAAGGAAAGTGTTTTCCAGTAATAAATGAAACTTAAATTGTGAAAATACTGTTGTTCACTCCTATTCATTTTCAGAATCATTTTCCTTGTTAAATTTTATTTCATCAGAATGTTAAGTACTATGTACTCTAATTATTAATTAAATTTTTCGTCTTATTTAAAAGTACTTTGATAAATAGAAGCTATTATTCCTTCTCAGAATAAAAGTATAAGAAAATTACAAAATAAAACTAGCCAAAGAGCTATACTAATATATTTTACACCAGACTTGTATTTTAAATAGCTCAATAACTTGAATTGTGCATTATAAAGTGAATTCAAGTCAGTATGGAATTCCTTTGAAATGACATCACTGTATAACATAAAAACCTCCAGGTTTTCTTACAAAAATCCTCCATTCAGATTTCAAGGTGTTTCTATATAGTTTATCAAGCCTCACCCCTTATTTAAAAATTTATTATAAGAGATTATCCTATTCAAAATTTTTAAATATAGTACTTTTTATTGTTAGATTTCAGATTTCTGTTAAATAGTTTAATTACAAGATTTTTCTTGTAAATAAAGATTAAAACATAAATCTTATTAAATTATGATTGAAATTTATATGCATCTAAAATTAGAATGATATAAAGATGTGAAATGCTAGTTGATGATAATCATTAAAACTAATAAGTAAGAAATTCTGATATTTTGTAGTTAATATATTTTAATATGCTCTAATGTTTTGCAGTTATGAATCAAGAACAATTTGCTAAAAATTTCCTTCCTTTTTATATTTGCTTTTTTTTTTTTTTTTTTTTTAGTCTGTAAAAGAAAATAAATTTGACCAGTATAGTGCAATGTATCATTTACTATTGGAAAAAATTAAGACTCACCAAAGAATGGCTCTGTTACCACAAAATTTACCTGTTGCATCCCAACCTCAGAGAAAAGCTAGCATTACAACAGGAGTGGGTAAGTTGAAAATTGTTTTAAATATCATGTTCTTTTGTAGATGTAGATATTGGCATAAAATAATGTCAGAAATAGTAATAACAGTTTTAATGATGCATTGAAGATGCATGCTGCTAGAAAATGGGTTCATACATGAATATTTGAGAAAAATATTAGAGTTTAAAAAAAAGGAACAAAATACCATTGAACTACGTTTAGCTTCACAATACTCTTTTCTTTGTATGATTTATGTAGGCTGCAGTGTCATTTTAATATTGCATTAGTATTATATAATTTCATCTTGATTACTTGAACTAATTTTTGCTATGGATAATTCCTTTAAAAAAAAAAAAAAGAATTTGACAGAATCTTTATTAATTCGCAGTTATAAAATTGTAGTAGGTAAATCTTTTTTCTTTTTCCGAAAAATGACAGAATTTTCATTAATGGACAGTTTCAAAAATCATTTAATTCATATGGATAGCAGTTGTCAAATTTGCCCAAAAGGCCTATCTAGATCAAAAAGATAAGTTACACTGAAAGGTTGTTATCATTGGCACCCTTGTGCAATTTTGGCTGCTGCCTCATTAATAGGAGAGTACTGATTTGTAGATGAATTTTCTAAATCATATTTCTGTGCATGTGAAGTGCAGAATCGCCCACTTATTTGGCATTTGTGTTTGGCACTTTTTACAAGAGTAAGAAGAATTGGATTTTTGTTAATTTCCTTTGACTTTTTAAGTGAAAATACATCGATGGAAGTCAAGGGAGTGCGCAATTCTCTGGTGTTTTGTTAAGTGAAAATAGGTCAATGTGTGCATGGATACCGAGTCTGTGCAGTTCTTAAAAACGTGCCAAGTAGTGGGTGATTCTGCACTTTTCCCAAAGTATAACTTAAAGTAACTCAGGAAACAAAACAAAACATATGTTTAGGCAGGCAATTAATAAGTTTTTCTTGTAAGTAAAATTTTAAAAAAATAGTAATTTTTGCATCTCAGACTCAGAAATCTGCTTGTCAGTATAATGATTCTTTGGTGAGTGAAAAACCATTCTTTAATAAACTTTTAGATAGCATCCTTTTTCGGTAAGAATGTGTGTTAAATATATATACATTTGTTATGTCAAAGTTCAAAGTTTTATTTACAAATGAAACTTTGTGAATACTTCACTAACTATACTTTTTGGGGAAGGGACTAAATTTTGTTTTACAGAATCCTGTACACCTATAACATTCAGTCTGTTTAGATAAAATTATACTTATTTTGCATATGCAAGCACTCTATGTTCAAAAAGTTTGTAGAAAATGCTTATAGGGAGTAAGTAGCATTTAAAATGTTAAAAAAGTGTTGTCTAATTGCTTTCAAAGTAAATATTCTTCAGAATATACACGCTTACTCCAAGACATCTGATATTCTTCACCTCAGTAGGAGAATACCTATTTTTATATCTTATAGAATAACCATTACATATTTTACGATAGCTTGAACTATGGGAAAATGTTGACTTCGTTGAACCATGTTGTTAGGTTGTCCATGGTCGTTGAACCATGTTGTTGGCAATAGAACATTGCGATCAAAGGATCTGATAGATAAGATGATTGTGGCATAGCAGGGATCTTTTCTCATCAAATATATCCATCTTTCTTTGCTCATAGTGTGACAACATGGTGAATAGTTGAAAGATATTTTAATTTTGTTTGTATCGCAATATGAACTGTACTGTTGTAGACAATGTTTCATTAATTTCTTCTGAAGGGATGGAGTGCTGTTCAGATTGGTATAGTAGTTAGTTGTCTTGGCTGCTGTATGTTTGATTAGGCTTGAGTTCGAATCCTGGAGATTGCATGGATGTGCTATAAGGTGTATAATGTCTATGGGGCAAGGAGGCTTTCAAATACACAGTGAGCCGATAGTCTTTTAGCTTGAGGAATGCACATATGCCAGGTTTGCTTCAACTTGTACTGACAGAACTAGTGCCATGGGACTATACCTCTATTGCCCGTGATGAAATTCTGGTGTCCCACCCACTTGGTGTACAATAAGTTACCTGTACGTGTGCTTTAATTCCAAAGTCGAAGTGTTGCAAATTATACACCATGGCTTGACTTTTTCACACAAGAATATATATGCCTAGAATCAATATTTAATGAAATGATGCATGTAATTAACCTTCTGTAATATACTATGTACCTGTAAAAACTTTGTGACTTAATTGCTTTAATACATTTTTTTTAAATTTTATGAATTTTTTTAAGTTGAAAAATCACCCCCAGCTGAACCTGCTACAGAAAGTGAGCAACCTGCAGTGAAACCAATGTTTAGTCCAATACCAATAGTACAGCTTGTAACTGAAAATCTTGAAAAAGTAAGTAATAGTTGTATTGTTAAAATTTCCTTGCTGTCTAATTATGTTTTTAAGTTGCATGTGTAATAAATGTGATAATGCAGAAGTAGTATATGCTTTTTTTTAATTACCAATTGAAAAAGAAATTAATCAAGTAATCTTCAGATTCAATTTTATTAAATTACTGTGAAACTTCAGGTAACTGGAAAAGCAGAAACGAAAGTTATGAGCCAAATATAGAATTTCAGAATATTTAGATAAGTCATGGAATTTTGAAATATTTATGTTATACATCTTTTGATGATTTCCACATTTGTTATTTCGGTAAGCAATATAAAAAAGCAATTTTTAATTAGTCAAGTAAATAAAAAATTAAACTTTTAAAAAAGAGCTGACGAACTAATTTGTAATTAACTAACAGCAACAACCAATGGAAATGGATGGATGGGGTAAGGGGCAGCTTCTATAAGATCTAGATTTTATCTTGTCTAGGGCTTACCAGACAGGATCTGGTTCAAGACCCTCTTTTTGTACTGAACTCTTTCAGGGTGAATGGGCTCATGGACCTGATCTAGCTCTACTGGTCACGGGGATGAGAAACAACAACAACACCAATGGAAAACTATAAGGATCTTTTGTCTGTTTTATATTGGTTGTTACGAAGTGGTAAACTTAAAAATTGAATCATATGCTTTAAGTAATTTTAAGTAAAAAAATGTGCAGCATTTGAAAACCCATATGGAAAATGAAGGTAATGTTTTTTAAAATCTTCAAGTTACCTTTTGCATTTTTGTTATGATATAGCTTGGCATGTCATTAAAAGGGTTTGATCAATGATTTTTATAAATTTGAGATAAAAATTAATAGCTTATGCCATCAAAAGAAGTTTAATTTCATATGATTATATCCCAAAGACTTAAACATGGGAAAACTTACTATATGTTTTGTCAAGACTCTCATTTACAGTGATTTCAATAAGTGGGTGAATGAGGTCAGAAGGCAATAACTGATATTAGAAATATCAATTATATGCTTTCTAAGGAGGGATTGCATAATGTGCTTCTATACCTGTACCTTAAAAGACAACTGTAGAAGTACAAATTGGAAGTCTGAAAGGTTTTCAAAATGTCAATGCTGATACACCTGTTAAAATGTCATGTTATTAATTATGCATCAATCTATAGTTGTCGCATCTGTCACAGTTCAAATTATCCTCTTAAATTTCAAATGTAAACTTTCTGTTTTAGTTTGGAGATGTGGAATTGGAATCTGATGAAGAAGATAAGCGTATTGAAACTGCACAGTCTCAGTACCATGTTGTCAGGCGGCATACCGTGGGACCAGACAATGCTGATGCACCAGAGGGTGGTGCTGTTGGTGGAGATTTATTTCTTCCACGAGGTGGACCATATTATGGACCTACTCTTCATCCTGCTACTGCTCTACCTCTTAGTGCACTTCCCCATACAAATCTTCCCCAGAATCTGCCTCTTGTCCAAAATCAAAATCCTCAGATATTCTGTGTTAAAGACCAACATTTGTTGAAACCACCACAAGTTCTTGGTGCAGGTATGTTGTTGCATGGTATACAAAAAATTTTCTGTTTAAAGATAAATAAGCCTTATTTGTGTGTTTTAGCTGAGTTTTCCTAACCTTTTTTTTTTTTTTTTCTTTTGAATGTGTAGTTTCCCCCATATACATATGCAAATGATTTATAAAAGTACTTAAGTAGATGTTATAAACACTAAAACTTTTTTGTAACTTTGGTTCTGGAATTCAGATAATGTAGTAAGCACAAAATACTGATTAAAAATTTCTCCAAGAATTCGTACAAAGCTTAAAACATGTAATCAAAGTTTAAGGCAGACATATTAAATACTAAGCAAAATAATAGATGTTTTTTATTAATGTATAAATATATCAGATCTTTATATCAAGTTCATAAGTCAGTTCTCTCTGTACATTCTTGTACAATAGTATAATATATCAAATCATCATAAAACAATATGATGTAAAAGATATATTTGAATGAATGGTGTACTTCATTCAAATGTCATAACGAGTAAAAACAAAATGCCTAATTGTTACACTTGTTGCAGTCTTTTGAGAGATATCATTATCCCAGATTTTTTAAGGAGGAGAACTGAGCGCATCAGTCAGTTATTGTACTATCATTTTTGATAATTCTAAATTTAGTACTTCTGCAAATTAATTAGGATCAGCATGATACTTATTAAAGAATGTCCTGCCCTCAAAGATGCAGAGGTGCTTGTTATGATGGCATATTTTGTAGAACATTAAAATACCTTTTTAATTTTTAAACTTTTAATTTCATTTAGATCCAGTTTGAATTAGAAATTATTTTTTAAAGATACAGCAGTCAAGCAAAGCAATGTATTGGTTCATATAGTCATGTGATGCATTTAACTGATGCGAAAACTGGTTGAAGGTTTAAATTCGATCAACTTGCATGGTCTGTGGCCATCTAGAAAGTTCCACCCCTGAAATTCATTTTTGATTGGCTACCGCATTGCATGACTATGTTGTTATTAATTAAACTTTAATCATAAAACTGCCCATGTTTAAAAACTCAACACATGTTTTAATAAAGCATAGAATTCTTAAATTTTTGGGGGGAGTCTAGTTTATTTTTAATATAATTAATTTTAAAAAAGTTTCTTTCTGTAACAGTTTTGTTGTTTTATATTGTTATAAACTTTTATAGATTATGTTATTTGTAACTTAAATAATCATTGAAAATATTTATGTTAATAGTTGGCGGCCTTGGACGTCGTGCATCTGATGGTGGTGCAAATGTTCAAACGTACTATCAGCGAAAAGTGATACCTGGACAACAAGGGCAGTCACCAAATAAAGAGAGACCTTCTACTGTAAGTTCACTAAATATTTTTCATTATAGAAGTTATTAATGCTGAACTAGATCCTGATTTGAAAATGGATGTCATCAAGTTGACATCATAGATTATGCTTTTATTTTACAATAATTATTATTTCAAAGAAATTTTAAATTTTAATAATTAAATTAATTATTGTATGCTCCTAAATAGGTTACGTATGTGTATACATATTTTTACAAATTTAGGTATTCTGGGCATGAAATTGTCCAGATACGAACCTGATTAATTTATAATTATTAAAAAAAATTGCATTAATAAATTTGTGAAATGTAGAGTGTTGTTTCCCATTGCATATGATTTGTAAGAGTTGTGTGTATGTTTGCAGATGTCGCCAAACAGTACATTACCTCAAGGTCTCCAAGCTTTAGCTTTACAGGAAGATGAGAGCCAAGAACAGGAGGAGCAGCAAATGGTGCAGCAGTCTTCTGTTCAAGGGTAAGTCATGCTGACATACTGAAAATGAATATTAGGAATTTTTAAAGTTAAAATATAAGAGACTGGAACATAGTGAAAACTTGAATTTGAAATCAGCTACACAAAATAACAGTTTTTAACTAAGAGATCAGCTATAGGCAGCTAAAGAAGAAACATAAAATGAGACTAATTCTCTTTAACAAAGGAGGAAGTTAGGAATTAATTAATTATTGAGCAAATTTCAGTTTTTTCTGCAACTAAACTACATTATTGTCAACTAATTGATGGCTTCTTGTGGGCTTTCCTTTTATTCCCTTGCAGAAGGTTTTTACCAAAACATTTTAGAAAAATTGATTCCTTTTGTCTTGAAATATTTTACTGGAAACTTCCAAAACATTGCTGAGTTGGCAAATTACAAAATATTACAAAAACACTGCATGGTTCAAACATGTTTATATATATGTTTCTTTCGCATCTATATCCCCTGCCCTTCTCCAGTTCTCTCTGCATATAATTTAAAAACCTCTGGTAGCAACATACAAGGTGTAAGTAGATAATTGAGTGTGTTATGTTATTAAATAAAGTACTTGTGGATTTTTGAAGCAAAAGCATGATAAATTACCTACAATGGTTATTTTAATGGCCTTCATTATGACAACCTCATTTTTTCTGCATCCAATTCTCATGTACCTGTTGTCTTTTTTTATGTCTTAGCTTCTTGTATTCAGTTCTTTTGTACAGTAATATTCAGCCCACCCCTCCCTTTTTTTTTTTTTTTTTTTTTTTTTTTTTTTTCTTTCTTCATCTATTACATGACTATTTTTAGTTTTCAATAAGCTGAATATCATCTATTCCGTTCTTCCAAGAAAAGGAAATTCTGCTAAGTGAGAACAATCATAGATGAAACTTTACAACAAACTTGCATAGCTACTAGTATCGATGAAAGTATCTTTGTACAGTAATGCCAAAAGTATTTTATTGAAAGAGTGGATAATCTGGGGTATACAGCTTGGAACATGAAAATGTTTTCTTGTTGAAATTCCTAACTGAATTAGTGAAACACTTATGCAAAGAATCATTAGTCTTTTTGAACCTGGTTGAATAACATCTAATGATTGTTGGAGGGGTGCAAAAAAAGACATAAACTGGGATATAAATATTTTATTTGTTAACTGTGTACTTAATTTTGTGGATCCCCAAACTGGTGTGCATACGCAACATGTAAAGAGATTGCCAAAAAAGGCATTATAAGACAACATTCCCCTTTAATTCAAATAATTCTATCTCACTGAATTTATGTGGCAAGTGTAAGGACCAATAAAACTGTTTTGAAGTTTTTCTTACAGCAGTTGCAGATTGATAGTAATAAAAAATTTCTTTATCTTGGACTGACCCTTTTTAGTGATATTTTGGTAAAATGGTTGCCTATATTTTTATAATTTTATAAAGCACTCAAACAAGTAAAAGTCTATCAATTAAAGATTATAATTTATTAACGCACAAAATTTTTTTTAAAAATCACACTTTATGATATGCAATAAATAGAAGAAATCACAAATTATTTACATAAATTATACATCAGTAACCAATGTATGCCCTAATTCAATATGTCAGTTCCTTAAAGATAAAGAAACTTCAATAAATATGCTCTCAAGTAGGACTGTAATTTTAATATATTTTTTGTGTTATTCATAGTGTTGAAATTATTTGAAGCTTGCAGTGATATATCCATGATCTGAAGCCTTCTAAAAGTATAATTTATGGAAACATAGCTGTTTTAAATCAGTATTTTAACAATTTATTGTGAAGTGTCTTTGGGTTATGGAATGATAAATATTTGTGCTTGTACTACAGTTACTCAGTATGGGAGCAACCTCAGAATTTCCGAATGGGGTTAAGCCCACCCGAGGAAGTGCAGAAGAAAATACCTCCAATGAAGCAGAGGAGAACTGGTTTATTAACAGTATTGGAGAAACAACCTGGTCAGTATTTGTTACTTATATGCTTTATTATAAAAAAATCACTTGCCTAATGCAATAATGTTGGTATTTGGTGGATGCAAAACTTTTTTTTATTATTGTAATTGCTTTTCTGTGTATTAAAATTAAATGTAAATTGTTTTAAAAATTGCCTAATTTCCATAGTTGTAGACCTTGAAACCATCAGTATATTATAATGGGAAGTTTAAAGGAGAAAAAAGTGTAGTTACTTGTAAATATTTTATTTAAAAAAATAAGTAAATAAATAAGTCCAGAACAAAATATTTAATTACTTATTTGACAACTGATATTTTTTAATTTTGTATCCAGGCTTTTCTTTCTCTTCTTTAATTTGATGTAAATTATAATGAAATGCTATTATCTTTGCAAATCTTTTATGCATCTTTGCAAACATAAAACATTTAATGAAGTTATCTTCTTTTGATTTTATTTCATATCCTGTATCAGCTCTTGAAGGTTTATTAAAACCACACAAGTTTTCCTGGTTTTCCTGTGCTGATTAAATAAATAACTTATCTTTTATGGTCAAGTACAAAATTTTACTGAATTTAAAACTTCTTAACTTTTGGTTAGTTCAAGAAGAAAAGCACCATTCACTGAATTTTAGATAAAGCTATTCTGCCATTTTAAAGTGAAATGATACTTAATTAATAATAATATGACAACAACTGATATAAATTCAGATAATGTGACTTGCTATGAGATCTGATGATATTATTTGAAACTACTGGAGGAAATTATTGAACTTTGCACACTGTCTGAAATGATAGAATAAAAATGAGTTATTTCATTTGCACCTTAGAGTTTTTTAGTCTGTTTGACATAACATAGCTTGGAATGCTGCATATTGAAATTATAAGTTTGAAATCATTATGGTTTCAGTTTCATGCAATTTTTTTTTTCCAGTAATAAAATGTGTAGAAAACTTTTGATGCTATTGTGTCACCAATGTTTCTGTGGTAACATGCAGTTGAGCAATTGTTCTAAACAAAAACCACTGTTTCTTTAGTAAATCCAGTTATTTCTTCGTTATAGCTTCAAGCAAATCGGTTTTCAGAACATTTGAATAATAGTTGTTCATTTTGTACCTTCGAGTTTGCAATGTTGACATTCATAGCTCTAGTAGAAGGCATGCCAGACTTTACTTTTTGATCTCTTGTGTATTTAAAGTGCTTCTACCATTGACATACTGAAATACAACTTTGTGTTTCTTTACTATTTTTGCAAGGTTTTTTTTACTCAAATTTCAGTCATACCCCTACTGTATTCACATAGAGATTTTTTCCTTGCCTTCCACACTAAGCATACTAGGTGTTTCCATTTTCTGTGGTGATGGCTGCAGGTTCAAACGCATTGATGCATAACCTTCACAAAACCCAGAAACAGTATTAAAACATTTTAATCAAGCCTTGTATATTTACAACTTAGAAGTTTGCATACTGTTTGACTCGCATATTTTTTAAATGGCAGTTCTGACTTCATGTAGGACTTGAAAACTCCCCTTTATATCAAATCTTTTACAGAAATATTACCAAAAAGATCTCTCCTTTTTTTTATTTTTAGCAATTATTTTTATTGCTGACAAAAATAAACTATTGTATATTTACAACTTAGCCGTTTGCTTTCTGTTTTTATGAGCATAAATTTTTTAATTACAGTTCTGAGAGTTTATATGTAACTTAAAAGCTCTTTGTGGGTGTGAATCATTTCCTAGAATCTCAGGAAAAAGGGAACTTTTCTTTGTTATCATTAGCAATTATTTTGAATACTGAGAGCAAAACAGTTTTATTTCAGTGAAAGAAGGCAGGTGCTGTTACCTCTCTAAAAACAGTAAGCATTAATAAAATTAATGAAAAACAAAGAGTTGAGTTTTATTTTGTACAGTGGAGCTATCCTTATTTTTTCCATCTGTTAATGTATAAATTTACAAGCAGTGTTTTCCTCCATATCAAATTGATTTGCTTAGATACAAATTAAATTGATATCCTTTCACTTAATATCTACTTGTTTCTCATGCTATATAAATATTTCATAAAATCAAACTTATATAAAATTTAAGGTAATGATCTTGGTAAAATTAATAACATTCAGTGTAAAATATGCATGATATTGAAGCATTATTTTTTATGTTATTCATTTTTGAGGTAGTTTCCTATTTATTATTTTATTCAGTTGTAGAGAATGTTTTTTTAAATGTTTTCTTTGTTCTTAGCCAAATACCGATATTGTCAGCAACTTCATTTATTTCTACCCCCTTCTGAGTACAACAATTATTGTATCAATGGAGGTGAGTTTTTAAACAATTGGAATTTGGGGTTCCTCTAACTTTTGGTGATGGGTTTTTCTTGGTGTTGGTTTTCTGGTTTGGGTGTGATGCTTTCTTTGTTTTCTTTAATATATTTATATATGATAATAGTGTTTCTGTTACAAAGAGAAATGCATATCTGTTAGTGAAAACAAATATTTTCTCTTACCTTTTTTTTAAGTTAGGTGTCATGACGAGGGAAAACAATTTTGACCAAAATATCATGATAAAATGAAGCATAGTAATATTGTATGCAGGGTGAGTCAGAAATATGGCTACATGTTTCATTGCTTCATATAATATGCTACAGTTAAAATGAGTTTTTACCATTTTTAAGTCTTCGAACTAAACATTGGTACTCAACAAAAATAACCAAACTGCTTGTTTTCCATTGTAAATAGAGCGAAAATTAGGTAATGTCAGTGGAAAGTCAAATCTTTATCTGAAAAATGGTACCAACCATATTCACTTTATTACCTCAAACTCTTGAGATATTTTCTTTTCTAGTTGTTTCTCGTTGTTTTCTCCATTTTTCCACAATCAGTGGCAATAGTGCTGCATTAAAATCATCTTTCCAGTCCCATGGCTTCGAAATCATTCTCGGCAGGCGTTGGTTCTGGACAAAGGTCAATTGTTGTGTGGGTGATTGCACATATGAAAGTCTATATTGCAACTGTAATTTATTTCTGTTTCAATACCTATATAATTTTGCCTAATGAAGTTCAAGCACTTGCTCTTATTTGAAGTGAGAAAACTCAAATTTAATACACCGTTCACTATTTCTCTCTATAATATAAGTAACATATTACATTTATTTCAGATGTATAGCTATTTCTGACTCGCATTGTTTACTTTTGGTGTTGCATATCATTATCACCTAACTTTTTATTTATCATTGTTTTAACATTTCATATAATTAATCATGGGACACTAAATAATCTAATTATTTTACTAATTCAGACTTTAACAAGAAAATTTTAATGTAATAAAAACAAAGTTATAAAGTTAATAAATGTCTAAGAAATGTCTGGTCATTTCTGATGTTAAAGAATGTAAAGAAATGCATGTTAAAGAAAGGTAGTGAGGAGTTTCATTTTTGTAAATATTGATACAAAATTGCTGTGTCTGTATTTTCCATTAAATAACTCAGTTTTTACACAAGCATCATGACATTGCACATGAAAAGGATTCTGTATTTTATAAAATTAATATGATCCTTATAACATAAAAACTCAAAAAAATATTCGTACTGCTTTAATTAGTTGAAAGCTAAAAGCTCTGTGCCTTTACATGCGAGATAACTAAAAATAAACGATGATAAATTTGATCACTTTTCATACCTTTTGTTGACTTAATATTTTTAAAAATAGCATGTAAGTAACTACAAAGCAAAAGTTATTCCTACTTGGGTAAAAATTATTTTCTTACTTTAATAATTCATTATAAGAGATTTTGTAGTAAAAATATGCGGATGGCTATCAGAATAATGAAAATCCCAGATAAAGGAATTAAACATTTAGTATAGAATACTGCCTGAATTAGGCTAGGGTTATAGAATTATGCAAGTAAAGGGAATATTATCATCTGTGCAGAAAACTGAGGATGTTGATATACAGTATACTAGTGGTAATTATTAATTTCAACACTTTCTTCTCTAAAACAAGCTACTGTAATTGATGATTATCTTTTATCTAAGTTTGTTATTTCTCTTCAAAGGTCGAGAAAGCTTACGAGACACTGCTTCCCTTCAGTCGACCTCTGGGCGTTACTCCCCTGTCAGAAGAGCTAGTGATGGCTGCTCTCCAGTGTCCTATTATCGAAATCAACTTGATAGGATCTATTATCAAACTGTTGCAACACCAGATAGTTTCAAAACAGTTCTACAAGAATATCAACAGCTCCAGGTAATCTAATCTCCCTCTTTTTTGTAATATGTACCTTTTCTTTCCAACCTGCACCTGAAAGCTTTTTAATGTTAAAAAAATTGACAAATGTTGGAAATACAAAGTTATAAGAATTTCTCTTTGCTGTAATGTATTATAACTTGTGCACGTGTTCATAAAGGATTGAATACACACATAATTGATGATAGCTTCATAAAATTTATTTTTCAAAAGGAACATTTTACAGATCTGGAGCTTTTCACATAAGTACTCCTACAGCCCTTTTCAGTATGACTGAATGCAAACATTAGTTATTACTTCATACTGCTAATAATATTAAACACAAGACAGTATGCAAAGCTTCAGTGTATAAGCTCGTAGAGTGATCTCTCAATACTATGAGCTAAACTCTAAACTCAAATTTGAACTGACGCTTTTTCCAGGATTATATAGTTTCCTCCTCCAGCCCCAGAGAAATTTCCTGTACCTTCGATTTCTCGAAACTTCTGGAAGGCATATACAGTCTACATAAGGTGCCGGTTGCATTTAGAGTTACATAAAGGGATCGAACTAAAATGTCACCAAATAGTAGCCAAGTTTGGCGATTTTTTGCCAAATTTGGTGACAAAAATTACTTGCGAAAACCAAGCTTCATGAAAACGCTTGACTGGCAAGATACCTATTTACCTCAGTGCTAAATGCATTTGCCTGTGCAACCTTATTTTTCTGGCTCACACTGTTAAGGTTTTTCGTGCTACATTATACAAGAGATACTACAATTTTACATGACTTTTCAACAGTAACTGTGTATGTAATCTTCAGTTTAATTTGACTATTATAGATTTTAATATAGTGTTCTCTATTTAAACTTTTATAACCTTATGTCACGTTAATTAAAAATAAAATAAATAAGATTACCAAAGGCTCTTCTTTAATGTTATTAAATTTTTTACGTGAATTTTATTGGGTATTCTATGGTAAATAAATTTTTCACAGAATATCTGATACGTTCAAATTTTGATTGCAGAATTTAATATTTCTATTTCTTGAACTTAATAAGTATTATTCTTTAATTCTTTGAATACAGTAAGACCCCGCTTAACGCTGTTTCAGTTTAGCGCTCTTTTATTTCAACCCGGGGATTCCCCAAAATTGTGTGCAGCTCTAAGTTTCCAAATAACATATCCGAAACAGTGTAGTTGTGTTTCTTGTTTGGTGCGGTGCTGTACAGACGCATTTTTATCATTTGAAACATTTGTTGACATTATTATAAGTATAAATTTATATAATACTATAATGATTAATACAGTGACAAATATTATGATCTTTAGTCTTTATCATGGCTGATAATAAAAAACAAGAAAAGAAAATTAGTGCTGCATTGAATTTGGCAATTTCAACAATAACGACAATTCTTAAGAATAAAAAAAAAAAAAAATACTGTCATCGGCAACTGCAACTATGTCAAACTCTGCAACTAGAATACCCATTCTAGAAATAACGTTATAGAAGGAAATGGGAAAACTACTGTCTATATGGATTGACGACAAAATTGAACGCAATATGCCATTAAGCCAATCTATCATAATGGAAAAAGCTAGAAGAATTTTTAATTACATTCAGGCTGAGGGAAGTGACATAAGTGAAACTTTAGTTGCTAGTCGAGGATGGTTTAATAGATTTAAACATTGAAATAATCTTCACAACTTAAAGATTACAGGAGAAGCAGCAAGTGGTGGCTGAATTCCCAGCGACATTAAAATCAATAATTGAACAAGGAAACTATCCTCCAGAATTGGTTTTTAATGTTGATGAAACAGGCCTGTTTTGGAAAAGAATGCCAAAACGAACATTTCTATCCCATGAAGAGAAACGAGCATCGGGATTTAAAGCTGCAAAAGATCACTTAACACTTTTACTGGGTGGTAACGCAAGCAGAGATTTCAAATTAAAACCTCTATTAGTTTACCACTCCAAAAACCCAAGAGCGATGAAAGGCATATCCAAATCAACTTTACCTGTAATTTGGGAGTCTAATAAAAAATCATGGATAACTATGAAAATTTTCCACGATTGGTTCACTGAATATTTCTGCCCGTTTGTTAAACGTTATTGTGAAATTAAAAAAACGTTGAATCAAAGAGTATAGCACTACTATTAATTGATAATGCTTCCAAGCCATCCAACGAATTTATCTGACTTAATAACATACATTTCACAGTCGAAGTGGTTTTTCTTGCCGCCTAATACAACTGCCTTAATCCAACCAATGGATCAAGGCGTTATATCCAGATATTAAGGCGTATTACCTGCGGCGAACATTTAAGACAGATGTTTGAAAAAACAGACATAGAAGAGAAGCAATCAATAAGAGAATTTTGGAAAAACTACAATATCATGAATGCTGTAGAAAACATAAATCTTTCTTGGAATGAGATAACAGAAAGATCTTTGAAAGGAGTATGGAAGAACATTTGGCCAGATTTATGTAAGAGCGAAGACATAGGACACTCTGTCGATATAGATGAAATAGTGGAATTAGTGAAACAAACCGGTTTAGATGAGGTAAATGTGGAAGACATTGAAGAAATAGTTCAAGAAACATCAGCTACTCTTTCTAATCACGAGCTCAAGGAATTAACTGAGCAAGAAGAAAACAAAAATAGTATTGATAGTAGTGATTTCGAAGAAGAGCAAGAAGAACTTTCGATGCCGTTTGTAAAAAGGAGTTTGACCAGTATAACTGAAATTATGGACCCATTTGTTGAAAATGATCCAAATTTTGACAGGAGTTCAAAAGCAATACGAGGTGTTATAGATGCTTTATCCACTTATCAACAACTTCTAACAGAATGCAAAAGGAAAACGCAAACTACATTAGATGCCTTCTTGACAAAAGGCAGAAATTGGAAAACACAGAATAGACTGAATGATCGACTGAGAATTTTATTTGTTTTTATAAGTATATTCATTTATTGTTTTTATTTTTGTAAGAACTAATGTTTGTTTTATTTTTATAAAAAAAAAAAAAACATTATTAAATTTAATACCTAACCAATTTTCTATCCATCTTCCCCTAACCCCACTATTTACATGTTAAGATAGCCTCGTTTAGCGCTGTTTCGCATTATGCTCTACTTTGATGGAACGTATCCCCCGCATTAAGCGGGATATTACTGTATTGTTATTTGTATTTTGTGTAAATAATTACAGATTTGAGTGGGTTAAAAGTTAATCCATGTGTCATTAAAAGAGACTGAAACAATAAATTTAAAATGATTTATGTCAGAATTTCTCAAACCATTTTTATAATTTAGAATGTACTGTGGACCACATTACTGTTGTCCGATAAAAAGCCATTTATATTACTGCCAGTATATTTGTATTTTTTAAATATAGTTAATTAGAAGCTATTTAATTTTACATTGGAATTTATCAATTTAGTTAATAGAAGAAAAGTTATATTTGCTTTGCATAATTCAATGCTATTAAGAATTTGGATAATCTATATATTAACTAAAATTTAAATAAATGTTGGTACTTGCATTAAGAAGATGAGTGAGCTTTCTGGTTCTTATACAGGTGTTCTAAATTTGGATGCATGTTGATAACCGTAAGTGTGAGATTAGCACATACATCAAGTCAGTTTTGTAGTATGTTTTTGTTTGAGTTAGCAGTGAAAACCCTTTCTTTACACAAATAAGTAGAAGCAGATTAAATCACAATTATTAAAGCACCATTGTACAGCTCACTGTATTCCATTTTCAATAGTAAGAAGTCCAGCAATAAAAAAAAATACCTTCTGGAGTTTTACATCTAGTGTTATTAGAGAGTTCAGTTAAATGGTTCTCTTTCATTCAATATAATAGTTTGTTATTTCCAAGTAATTCTTTTCCAACAGCAATATCAGTTTCTTTGAAAAAGATTCTGATGTTGGAAATGGTGAAAATTGTTGTATTTTACACAACTAACCCATAAACCAAGTTCCCTCTCAAACCCCTTTATTTCTCATCGGTATTAAGAACAGTCAAAGAATTACCTTGTAGACAGATTTATTTCATTTAGTTTTATGAATACATCTGAAAGATATGGCAGTGTACTTAGTCAAATGTTATCAGCAAGAAATGATATGAAATCTTTTTAATATCATTTACAAATAAGAGGTTGTTAGTGCAAATCTAGGTAGACTACATTGACAGGCTTCAAGGAGCACATTTTGAGAAATGTTGATTTATGTTTTCGTGTAATACTTTAAACTGATTTGTTAGTCAGTTAAACCTGAGCTGATGTGGCTATAGTGGGTGGTAGATTTTAGAAAGGCAAAATTTTTATAATTAAAAGAAACATCAAGCAACAAAATTAAAGGGATGACAAAATTTTTAGAATTTAGGAAAAACACTAAGACACAGGGCATCGCAACATTAACAATGATATGCATCACATAGTATTTTAGAGAGGTGCTTGGTAGCAGAATTTTGGACCTGCATAGACTGCACAGAGTTGCAAAATGGTATTTATCATAGCATCAACCTTGGATAAGCCTTAAGTGTATGTCGGAATTTAATTATTCAAGACTCAGATAAGCCTTAAGCATTTGCAGAAAAAAAAATCGTAAGTATAAATATCTAAATTAATGTAATTCAGGTTTAACTTTGTTGGCATGTGATAGAAGCTAAACAAAATTTAGTGGAACAACATATCTTTCCTCTCAATCTCAAGACAAATCACAAATGATATACAGAAAATGCTGGAGAAGCTGAGGATTTTCCAGATATTGCTAACAAAAAGCAAAATTTTCCAATTAATTGAATTTTTAGAGTAGTAACAAATAAAGATGATATAATTGAAGTTTTTTTATTGCAATGACAATATCTTGATCATCAATTAACTAACAGACTGAGAAATCTGTAGTATGGCTCTAAGTCCAGAAAATATTGCTATTTATAATGAAGAAAGTGATAGATAGGTTACTGAGAGCGAAAAAGTTCAACTGATAATTTAATGGGAATTCTCGACACAGTAATTACCGGACTTCACCAATAGAACCTTATAACTGAACAAGAAATTATATCTTATCTAACGAATTAAAGAGAAAGTAGGGCAAAGCAAATTAAACATTGAAAAAAGCATTTAATAAAGCTAACAAATAAATATTGAAATTTTTTTCGTCAATCTGGATTTCCTTAAAGTCCAAAATGCTTCATTATTTCATAAATGACTGCTTCATATTTTTAATTTTGTAATTTATGTATTTCATCATATTAGATCTAAACTGATGATCTAATATCCGGAAAAATCTGAAATCCAGAATTTCCGAAGCCCTGATGAATCCAGATTTCAGACTTTATAAAGAAGAGATATTCAGAGCAATAATATTCTGTACTCTAGAATAGTGCGATTTTATAATCCAGGTGATCTTAGAATGAGATTTCACTGCATCAGTATTAAATATGGCATTTTGAGCACTGTTTGGTGGTTGGTGTCAATTCAAATAGATTAAAACTTCTCAGCAGTCTGTATTTTATCATTCAAGCCACACACACACAATATATGTGTGTGTGTGAAAAGACATAATAATGTTGAATCCATAATGAACAGCAAACTTGGCAGTCAAGGTGGATTTAATATTCATCTTTATTTCAATTGATATTTGCAGCCGCAATGTACCTGGCAATTAGTACTTCAATCATGCCTATTCAAGAATATTTACATTTTTTATTACTGTTTGATAGGAAGTGAGCAGAGAAGCGTCTTGACGATAACAAAAGCAAAAGTGTGCAGTTATTCAATATGAAAGCTTACGAGGAGAAAGGTTTCAGTTTTCAAATTTTTTTAATTCAGGTTCCAAATTAGCTATGTGATCAGTGTTATGCAAGCCATGTGACGTAAATTGATCTATAAATGATGCAGTCCTGAGAATTTTTACTCATTTTAGAACACACAGAGGGAATGAAAGACTGTTTCTATTTTAAATTACAATTTTGAGATTTACATATTTCTTTATCTTACATAATATATAATCTACTTTAAATACAATTACAATAATTTAAAATAAATATTCAGGCTTCCTTCTACTTTGCAGTATGTATTTTTATGTTAGTTTTATTTTAGAGGGGTAAATAGTTTTAAGTAATTAAAATACATATTCAGTATATTACTTTAAAAGTTCATAGCTCTCATATTTTTATGTTAAAAATCAAATGGCTATAAAATGCTTCAGGTCTGTTTGATTTGTATAACTTTTCTATTCTTGAGATGATTTTTTAAGTTCTATAAATTATGAGGAAACACTTACAAAAAATATTTGTTTGTTACTTTCAGCAATTGCATTCTAGTGGCGTAGATTCCAGAGTATCTGCTGAAATGCAGCGACAACATTGTCTACACATACAGCAGATGGCCCAGCTACAGCCTTCTGGTTACTTAACATCTATTTCTTCACCACCATCAATAGCTGGTTCTCCAATTCACCAAGCTCAACCTAATATGGGGGGCTCACCATCAGCCTTAACACAGCATCTACAGAAACTTCATCTGCAGCACCAGGGTGGTCAAATGAGCTTCACTGGCCTTGAATGCCCTCTTCAAGCATTCCAAAGGATTCAAGCCTTATCTACTCCTCATCACAGTAGCCCAACAGCTCCAGTTCCAGGATCTTTGTTCCCTTCAGATACTTCTCCTACTCGCTTGCCCGTCATCTCTACCAGCAGCACTTCACCCCAACAGCCTTATCCTGAATCACCAACTCACTTGTACACATGCCCAATAAGTTATGCCACTCAACCAAGTGGAAGTAGTCCTCCACCAGTCGGTTACAATCTTGATATGATTCAAGAAGATATAACAGAACATATTATGCCTGGTGGGAGTGACACAATGCTGACAGTTGTAACTAGTGATGATAGCCCTCGATCATCTCCAACATGCCAGCAGATGGGATTTCCTCAGATCAGTATTACCGATGAGACGGGAAATGTCACCGTCTCTTCATCTTTGACGGGTCAGAGTATAGTTCATGAGACTGTTTCTCGTAAGCAGCCATTGCAGAGGCAAAAAAGTGAAGTGGTGCAGTTATCAGTTCCAAAGAGGTATCAGTTATCTACAGGAATAGATGAGCATGTCATTCGTGGTGGACGCAGAGCTTTTGTCCGTCAAAGTAGTAGAGAAGCAGAAGACAGAGACATAGCAACAGAATTTGCGATGTGTGGGAGTTCCAAGTCACTCTTGCGATGGGCAACCAAACAGTCAATTCGACAATCTTATGTTCATGCTAAACACTTGAGGCAGACATTTCCACCTATTGGACATATTTCTTCATCTCTGGGAAAGAAACTAGGGCGTCAGACACTAGGTCAACACATTTCTACAAGTGACCCAACTCCTAATCCGTGGGCTGGGAAACCATCCAATTGGTGGAGTAAAAAATCTGTTTTTAGGGAGCACCAACTTCATAAAACTCCCAGTGGTAGTGTTCATGTATCCCTTCCAACAAATGAACGATCTTTTACATGTGAAGCAGATATACTTCAGGAAATCCAGCAACAGCTGGATCCTATAGTTCGAGGCCTGTCCATGATGTTGCAGAGATCTGAGAGGGGTTTGGCTGTGGAACATCCAGCTGGAGTCCAAATTGAACTTGAAGTATGTGATGGTCCCCATCCAGATGATAAGCGATTGAAGATGCGAAGAATTTCTGGTGATAGTTTACAGTATAATGAAATTTGTAGAGAACTATTGAATGGTATTAATATATGAAATTATTAGATACCATCATTGCAGTGATACTATTGCCATAATCTTCCACTTCTGATATGTGCTAGTCTTATGATATGGATATTTTTCCCTTTTTTTCTCTGAAATGGGAATGTTACTAGTCAGACTGATTCATTCCCTTTTTGAAGTTAGAATGAAGCAGGTCCTGTTTACTGAGGGAGCTGCCTTAGAAAACATATCCACCAAGTTGCTCAGCCTGTATAGCGGTATCTTTAGTAAAGAAAATATTATTGCACTTTTTTGTTAACTATGTGAAAGTGTTTATGAAGTGTGAATGCAGATTGTAGGACCAATGCAAAAACACATTTTCTTCAGTGGGGACGTTGCTCAATGTATTAAAAATATGTTAAGCCTCCTCAGGGCTCGTCATTGTAACAATCAAGAAATGTGAGTAATGAACATTGAGACCATTTGTAATATATGTATATAATCTGTCTGTAAATGTTCTCGTTATTGGTTGAAATTGCTATTGTGTTGCTTACACATGTCTCTGCGAATATGTGTAATGTTTTAGTCTGTTGTAGATACAATTTATAAAGTATTTGTTGTGTTAAATTTTTCAAGTAATTCCGTTCTTCAATAACAGTAAACAGTGAAATTTTTGCAGTTTTAGTATAAAATAGAAAATTCATCTTCAGATAAAGAATTAGTATCAACTTTTGCGTCAGTCAACGCATTAACTTAAGGTAGGAATTGAAATAGAATGTGCAATTTTTCTTCCTAAATCACCACTTTTAAACATAATATTGGGATTTGGAGCAGCACAATGTATTAATCCCTTGTCATCACTAATTATAATGAAGTTTTTAGCTGGTATTTGCTTATAAAATTTGGAATGTAGAAAGAAACTACTGCTGATTTAAGTATTTGTTAACATAAATTAATTTAGTATAGGGTTTTCTTGTTTTAAAAAATAAACAACTTGAGTATTTTTACTGCAAAATTGTACACAAAAATTCATAATAACACATAACTTATGGGAAAAAAATTGCTTTCTCTGTTGAAGGCACAAAATATGTTCATACCGTTT